CAGTTGCTTCAGTAATTGCTGTGGCGTTGGTCGGAATGAAGTGATCCATTTTGGAGAACTTGTCAATAACTACGAGGATGGCGTCATGCCCTCGTGAGGTCGAAGGAATTCTCGTGATGAAGTCGAGGCTAACGACCTGCCATGGCTGCTCCGGTACGGGTAGAGGCTGAAGTAACCCTGCTTTTTTCTGCTTGCTACTCTTCATCCGCTGGCACGTGTCGCATGAGGTGACGAACTGCTGCATGTCTGCTACCATCCGATGCCAGTAGTAATACATCGCTATCCTTGCTGGCGTCTTGTTGCTCCCGAAATGTCCCGCGTATGGTACGTCGTGAAACTCCTCTAGTAGGATCTGCCGTAGCGGGGCATAGTTCGGTACCCTAATCTTTTCTGATCCCTTCCTAACAACTAAATCATTCTCCCACTGTAACAGCTTCTGTTTCTCTACCGTTGCTATCTTTGCATCCACAGAGTACCCATGTTGGAACTGACCCTTAAGAAGAGGGTTCATCTTGTCGAGCTGGATGCCTGCTACACGGCCGGGGCGGCTCAACGCGTCAGCTTTGTTGTGTAGCCCGGGTTTGTAGATGATGTCGTAGTGGAAGTGGGTCTCCAAGAAATCCACCCACCGCACCTATCGTCGTGAGAGCGTCGGCTGCGACTTCAGGTATTTAAGGCTGCAGTGGTCAGTGTAAACTGTGGTCTTGGCTCCCTCTAGGTAACACCTCCATGCCTTGAAGGCTATGACTATGGCTAAGGCTTCCTTTTCGTAGATGGGGTGGTTCAATTCTGCTCTGTGTAGTTTCTCATTGAGGTAGGCGATGGGCTACAAACCGTGTCCGTGATCCTGCATCAGTACTGCTCTGACTGCCTGGTCACTAGCGTCTGCTTCCACCACGTAGTCTTTGTCTGGGTCCGGTAGGATGAGTACTGGCGCTGTAGTCAGTGCTGTCTGTAGCTGCTCCATGGCTTGCTGATGAGGAGTATCCCATTTGAAGGGTGTATCCTTTTTCAGTAGGTCGGTCAGTGGCGCTGCTATCTTAGCGTAGTACGACACGAACCTGTTGTAGTATTTAGCGAAGCCTAGGAACTGTTGCAACTCCTTTACGTTCTCTTGGACTTTCCACTTCTTAACGGCTTCGATCTTCCGCGGGTCCACGTGTATGCCCTCCGCACTCACCATGTGCCCGAGAAACTGCACCTTCGTTAGTGTGAAGTCGCTCTTTCACAGCTTCACGTAAAACTTATTTTCCCGCAGGATCTCGAACACTTTCCGCAGATGCTCCACGTGCTTCTTCATGTTCTTGGAGTAGATGAGTATGTCGTCCAGGTACACCATCACGCACTCGTCCAGCAGGAGCCGTAGGATATGGTTCATCTCCACCTGGAACGTTGCTGGAGCATTTGCAGAGTCCGAACGGCATCACTAAGTACTCGTAGGAGCCGTATCTGGTACGGAACGCCATCTTGTGGATCGAGTTGTCCGCCATCTTGATCTGCCAGTAACCCAAGCTTAGGTCCAGTTTCGAGAATACTGTCGTACCACACAGTTGATCAAGAAGGTCGTCTATGCGCGGTATGGGGTATTTGTTTTTGACTGTCTGTTTGTTCAGTGCGCGGTAGTCGATGCACATCCGTAAACTGCCGTCTGGTTTTGGAGTGAAGAGAACTGGTGCACCGTAGGGAGAGGTGGATGGGCAGATCAGTTGTATGTCTAATAGATATTCAATCTGCTTCTTCATGTCTATTAGTTCTGTCGGACTCAGTCGGTAGGGTGCACGTGAGACGGGTTCTGCATCTGGTTCTTCCACGATATCGTGTTTGTGGGTACGCGCTGGAGGTACTGTACGCCTGCGGGTAGGTCGTCGTGCATTATATCCTTGTACTGCTTGAGGACCTCCTTTACTGCTGCAGGTAGCTCCGAACTCGGCTTCTCCTCCTCTGCTGCTGCCATAACCAGTGCTAAGTAACCCGTGTTACTCTCGTTCACCGTCTGTTCGAACCGTGCCAGTGTCGTTTCAGGAACATCCCCTGTATCTGTCCAGCTTTGCAGCTCCACTGTTTTCTCGTTGTCGTAGATGCAATGCCTTCTGATTTACCTTATCGATCTCGGGGTTGAACCGCTTCAGGAAATCTCGCCCCAAGATGAAGTCTAATCTCATGATGTTCGTGTCAGAATCCCAGCCACTAACCACTGGGATAAAAGGGCTTGTTTGTGTAGCGGGTGAGTGCGTCCATAACCCCCCAGGCCAACGTGCCTGTAACCCTTCCCTAGGATCAATCGGGGATCACCAGTGGACCTCTGACACCCCCCCGCACTGGGATGCCCGAGGTGCACACACCGGGATTCGAACCCGAGACCTTCGCTCTGATACCATGTCAGAATCCCAGCCACTAACCACTGGGATAAAAGGGCTTGTTTGTGTAGCGGGTGAGTGCGCCCATAACCCCCCAGGCCAACGTGCCTGTAACCCTTCCCTAGGATCAATCGGGGATCACCAGTGGACCTCTGACAGTTCGTGATCGGCAACGTCGGCTTCCACCTTAACGCTCCTATCTGCAGCTGCAGTGTTGACTCGCCGTGGATAGGAAGCTTCGTACCGTCCACCATCATTGCTGTAAACTGTGTCTCCTCCGCCTTCTCTCCAAGTTTCTCCAACGTCCCGTGGTTGCACACCGGGCGGGACGCACCACTGTCCACCAATGCCTGGAGGCGTCGCCCGTTGCAGATCACCTCGAGGAGTAGTGGCTGCTGCTGCTCCGAGTAGCTGTAGATGGTCGTGCTGCTCCGAGTATCATCCCTTGGTGTTGCGCTCGAAGCTGCTGACTCAATATCAGGTATCACCTGAGTAGGGTTAGAAGGTTTCATCCGAGGCTGGTACAACTTCTCCTAAGCTTCGAACCTTCCCCTAAGCATTTGCAACTGTGTTGGCTTTTCCTGTGGGGAACAGGGAGCCTTTGAACAGTGCTGCTGGGAGAGACTATCAACTCTTCGGAACGTTCGACCCGTATCAACGCTCCGGAATAGGGTCCCCATATTACCCGGTACCGGTTTAATTTCTGACTCTCGCATAATAAAGGCTTGAAAACGACAAAAAGTAATATTCTTACTTGTCGGGGTGTACGGCTGGAGTTTCCCTGTCGGTGCAGGGTCTTGTTGCACGGAGTCTCCATTTGTCTCGGCGATTTCCCCTGGTGCCGGCCGGTCGTGACGTTTTAAATTCGCGCCACCATATTCTCCTTTTTTCGCCCTCTCCGAAGTTGCCACGTTGTCTATTTTTTGTTTCGGGGGTGCCACGCTGTTCTTCTCCCTCAGCTCCGCACGACTTTTCTTCATTTTCCAACACGCCAAGATACGATGTCCTGTAGCGCCGCAAAATTTGTACGTCTCAGTTTTTGCTAGCCGCTGCTCCACATCGCCCTTGTCGTTCTCCATCGGGTCGGCAGTCGTGGGTGGTGCCAATCGCTCCATGCCACTATTTGGCTGGTTGCGTCGTGTTCCGTAGTAGCTACTATTTACTGCGTCGAACCGTTCAATCAGTGCTGCCCGAAACTGCACCCACGTCCCTTCGCCTTGGACATTTTTGTTGCTAATCCACTCTAGAGCTGGGCCTTGTAACAGTGTTGCTGCGAGCCGTATGCGCATCGCGTCTTGGTTGAGGGTCGTGCATCCAATGGCTTCGAATATTTTTTCTAGTACAGTTACAATCGACGAGCGTCGCTCCCTTTGACTGTAGGATTGAACACGTCTAGTTGTCTCGACTTGCTGCTTCGATATTAACTGTAGCTGTTGCTGTTGTCGCAGATAAAATTGTCGGTGTGGTCGCCGTCGCTGCTGCTGCTGCTGCTGCTGCTGTGACTACCGATTGGTTTCAATGAGTTTTTCGAATTATGGGAGCGCAGCACATATCTGCTCATGCTCGGCATGTAACTCCGCGATTTCCCGTACGAAATGATCTCTATTTCCCTCCATTTGGCGATTTACAGAAAGATGCGGGTCGAAAAAAATTGAATTCAAGGTGCTGGTCGACTTTCTGCGAGTCGAATCGACTGCAGAACCGACGAGCGCGAAATCTGTACGTTGTGTAACTCTCCTTTACTTGAAATTCGCATTCGATCTCGGCCGTTGAGGAAAGACTCGATCCGACGCTCCAAATTCCAACTTTTTTTGGGCGAAACTTTCTAAGCCGTTGAGATTCGAGTCGATCGAACAATCGAAATTCCAACCTCTTCACCAATAAATCTGAGGGTAGTTCGAAAACCGAATCGAGGGGGACTTAGAAAAATTGCGCGGAACTGGTTTTACATACCCGTATCGGCGCTTTCGTCGTCGCCCCCGCGGTTTTTAAAGGCCGGAACTAAACGGTTGAAGACCTCGCGTGTAAACCCGCTCTGATTACCAAGTGTGAGGATCGTGAATCGCGTTCACGAAAGAAGTACTGAAATGAATGAGCAACGGGTACAACACGAGGCTATATATAGTCTCGACACAAGGGCCAGTAACCAGGTGTTACGTGAATGTTCTGAGGGTCGCGAAGCGTCTCAAACAGGACCTTTTTGTACTTGGTAGAAAGCAATTCGGTGGCATCGGAATGGGCTTGAGTTCGGTACACGTAACCTGGTTCGGTGCTATAACTATAATAAAATATAGGAATGCACCTAATTTAGGAAATCAATCATATCTATGCATGATAAAATAAACCCAAGCTAGAAATAGCATAATAAAGTCCAGGCAAGCTAGCAGAGCCAGCATAAGCCGTCGTACTCGCCACCGTGAAACTGATTGCTGCGTAACAGATGATAAATCGCCATTCCCCATATCTAGGAGTATAATCGATACGCCACCACGCCATAGTCTCGGGGGGAAAAGTGTCCCTTGTAATAATCTGGATTGCGACATCGTGAATGGCGACTTCGCAACTAGATCGACCACATAGCCTGCACGGCGCGTCGTGATTCCTCCGACTCGCAGCCTCATCGCTCTGTCGCAAGCTCACACTATGGGTGTAGTCCCCCTCGACCTCTCGCCTTCCCGGTAAACTCGCCTCCGCGTTGGGTTCGAGCGAGTAGCCATGCGACCTCCCGTGCCGCCTCGCCTCGGCATCGGCGTATCGCCGCCTCGCCGCTTCGCCTCCATTTCGCCGTCAGATCGGAGCCTCGCCTCATCAGTGAGTCATCGTCACCGCATCGCCGCCTCCCCGCCTTGCTTCCTCGTCGGCGCGTCGCTGCGTCGTCGCCGCCTCGTTGCCGCGTTGTTGCCGCCTGCCATGTCGTCGCCTGCCGCATCGCCGCCTCGTCGCCACCTGCTGCATCGCCGCCTCATCTCCCTCGCCTTCACCGCCGCCAAAGCCGGGGACAGGGACGAACCTGCTGGTTACCCACACCCGCCACCTCCTAACTACTCCGGTCCCTCCCCAGCCCCTCTACCAGTCAACCCCTTCTCACCCTCTCTCCCGTCCTTCTATCTCCGTCAATCCCTCGCCTCCCTGTCTCCCTCATTTCCCCCCTCCACCCCCATCATTCCCTTCCCTCATTCCCTCCATTTCTCCCTTCTCTTCCCTCCAGGTCCCCACTATTTGTTCTCTCCTGCCATGCATGCCCTTACTTCCACCTCCTGATTTCCCTCCTTTCTCCACCTGCGCCCCCTTTTATTTCCCCCTGCTTCCCCTCGTTTCATCCTGCTTACCTTCTTTCCCTATCCTCTTCTGCACCCGTTGTCCCCCTTTCCCCCCCCTGCCCTCCTCTCTCCCCCTTGTCCTTTACTCTACCCATTGACCTTTACTCTACCCCCTGTCCTCCTCGCTCCCCTCTGTCCTCCTCTCTATTCTTGTCCTCGCTCCCCTCCTCTTCCCACCTTCCCACCTTCTCTCATCCCGTACTCCCATCTTCCATTCCCCCCCTCCTTCTCTCATCCTCTCCCCTCCCCCCGCAACTCCCTTCCGTCCTTCTCTCGTCCGGTCCTCCCCTCTATCATCCCATCCCTCCTTCTCTCATCCCCTCCTTCCCTTACTCATCCCCTCCTCCCCTCGCTTCTCTCCTCCGTCCTTCTCTCATCCCCTCCTCCCATCTCTCATCCCCTCCCTCCTTCTCTCATCCCCGCCTCCCCTCGCTCCTCCCCTCCGTCCTCTCATCCCGTCCCTCCTTCTCTCATCCCCTCCTTCCCTCACTCATCCCCTCCTCCCCTCTCCCATCCCCTCCTCCCTTCTCTCATCCAATCCGCAGCCTAAATCATTCCCTCATCCCCTCTCTCTTCCCCTCCTCCCCTCTCTCATCCCCTCATTCCCTCTCTCATCTCCTCCTCCCATCGCTCCTCCCCACTTTCCGTCTCTCATCCCGTCCTCCACTCTCCCATTCCCCCCCTCCTTCTCTCATCCCCGCCTCCCCTCACTCCTCCCCTCCGTCCTTCTCTCATCTCAATGTCCCCTCTATCATCCCCACCCTCCTTCTCTCATCCCCGCCTCCCCTCCATCGTCCGTTCCGCTACTTTCTCAACCTCAACAACCCAACCTCCTTTCCAAGCTTGGGCCCTTACTCCACCACGGGCCACCCTTACTACCTCGTTCCTCTCTCCTGTACCGTCACCTCCTTGCCACCTTCACTACCCCAAAACCATCTTCAACACACCCTCCCCTCCCCCTCCATCCCCTCCTCAGGACCTCGACAACCACTCCTCCTTTCCAAGCTTGGGCCCTTACTCCACCACGGGCCACCCTTACTACCTCGTTCCTCTCTCCTGTACCGTCACCTCCTTGCCACCTTCACTACCCCAAAACCATCTTCAACACACCCTCCCCTCCCCCTCCATCCCCTCCTCAGGACCTCGACAACCACTCCTTTTGTCCCCTCAAGTTGACACCCGACCGGATTACGGCGGACAGAGGGCCTTCTTGCCCGGGTCCAATGCAGTCACATAGTCGAGAAGCCCGACCTATAAAGAATTCAGTTCAATCAGCCATCTCCCTAGTATAGCCGGTGTAATGATCTTGCAACAATAAATGCCTCTTACCACGCTGACCAGCACGTTGGGTTGCAAACAGAGGGTACACACTTATACGTGGAGAGCGTACCATCACTCTTTCTTTCCCACTTTGGGGACCTCGATTACGGTACTAGTCTGGCAATATGACAGGCCAACCACCCGGTTGGCGTTGAAAGAGAAAAGAGAATACTACCGTCATACCCCGGATATACCCCCATGGGGGGCAATAATAAAACAGGTTTTTTTAGGGGGGTGGGCTTATAATCGAGTAAATTTATAAGCGCCGGCGTTTATAAAACGACATATATATTTTATATATTTTTTAACACCAAGCTGTAGATCTCGTGCTTGCCTTTTTCAATCGAGTCGAAGTTACATGGGGTCGTCTGTGAAATTCTTGCGCGCGCTGGAGATACACCCACTCTGACAGCTCCTGACAGCTTCTGACAGCTCCTGACTGCTCCTGCTGACTGGACCCGCATCCGGTGCAGTGTCCGAATGTGAAGGGAAGTGAATCTGCAACACATCCCCCTGCTAAAGTAAATATCGTTACAGTGTTTCGAACACATTTCAAAATTTAAAGTTTACGTGCGCTTATAATAAAACAAGTTTTTTCAGGGGGTGCGCTTATAATCTAGCAGCGGATATAAGCGCCATGCGCCAATTAAAAGCGCCAGGCGCTTATCCGAGGGTGGCGCTTATATCCGGGGTATGACGGTAACATTCACTTGTGTTGAAGGCCGCCCCCTAATTTGTAGTTGACTAGGATGAACATGTCAGGTGCCACGTTCCGATGCTAGTGATTTTGCGTATACATTTCTGCACCACCTATGCATAGAGGCCCCTAACTGGCCCTCTGGGCCCAGCTGAAATGAATAGTAAACTTCTAGAACAATGGCAAACCGTCCTATTACCACCGAGTGTGTGTGGTCGACAGCCCAGTCCAACAGAACGCTAAGGCTATGAATGATACTGATTGCTCTTTGCCTGCGTCTGAATGAGTGGTGGGGACGTGAATGCATGTCGTGGGGCGGAGGGTAGAGGTGCGGCCAAGTGCACGGCAGATTGGCGCAGTGAACGAAACACTGAAGGTCAAAGAGATGGCACGGGTGGAGAGTGAAGGGAGGATAGAGTGAGCTGGGGGAAATCGGGGTTACAAACGACATCGTGAGGGAGTGGGCACGGGCAGGGAAAGGACAGATGGAGGGCGGTGATGTGAGTGAGAAATATGACAGATGAAACCCCACCCGTGCAAAGCGAAGGACATATGGAGCGGGGTCTGTGCTACAGAGAGGGGACAAAGAAGGCAAGGTGTGTCCGTGAGCAAGGGACAGAGAGTGCAAGGTGACATTTGGATGTGCCCCAACCCCAGCATCACCTCCCTCAGCCGCCGCCCGCTCTGCTGGCCCGCCCATCGCTGCACCTCCCTCTGGCGACCGTCCATCTGCCCTCCGTCACAATCCACGGCCCTCCGTCACAGCCTCTTCCAATGAAGTAGATGCACTTTCCCGCTGAATCTCTTCCTCGGTCTCCTCAAGATCATCCTTCGTGCCAAGGCGCACCCCTTCCGGCCGGTGACGCATGAGAGCTCTAAAGCATGGCCTGCCCATAACAGTGACAAGGATGAATAAGCAAGGGTTAAAAATGTAACGAGCAGTAAGGGGATTTTTTCAAAGGGAGCAGGTGCTGGAGGTGTAGTAAACTAATAGCGGAATGGGTTACCTAACAGGCCCGCCAGTTCGGACGCGCTTAGTTGTGCCACTGCCCGTCCCTTGTCAGTGCGACATTTGCATGCAGCCCTCACAGCGGCAGGAGAGAGTTGTAGACTGGTTCGAAAGGGTGGGGAAGGGAGACGAGCACGGTGAGGGAAACTGGAACATGTGGTGTGCCAGATCCTGCAGAAGGGCGTAGGAAAAGGGGGGAGAAGGGTGTAGGGCGGAGAGGGTGGAAAGGTGGAAGATTGGGGGAATAGGGCTGCCAAGAGGGGATAGGGGGAATAAGTGTGGTGGGCAGAGAGAGGATAGGGGTAAGAGGAGTGTGTAGGACAGAGAGGGGATACAGGGAAGATAAGTGTGGGCAGCGAGGGAAAAGGGAGAAGAAGGGAGAGGGGAAGTGCGGGTAGGGAGCATGGAGGTAGTTGCGAGAGGGGGAGAGGGGGAAGAAGGGAGTAGGGAAGTGAGGGTAGCGGGGGAAGCAGGGAGTATGGCAGAGTAGCTTTAGGGAATAAAGGTGTAAGGAAGAGAGGGAACGGGGGGAAGAAAGGCGTATGAAGAGGGGAAAAAGGGGGTAGAAGGGCGTAGGGCGGAGAGGGTGGAAAGGCGAAAGAAGGGGGGTAAGGCAGAGAGGGGATAGGTGGAAGATGAGTGTCTGGCAGAGAGGGGATGCAGGGAAGATTGGTGTGGGCAGCGACGGGAAAGGGAGAAGAAGGGTGAAAGGCAGAGAGTGAAAGGGAGAAGATGGATGTAAGGTAGAGAGCGGAAAGGAAGAGTGGGGAGAGGGGCAGGGAGGGTCTTTGGAAGAGAGGGGAAAGGGAAAAGCATGGAGCAAGGCAGAGAAGAGAGAGGGGGAAGCAGGGTGTAGGGTAGAGATGGATAATGGGTTTAGCAGGACGTTAGGGAGAGACTGCACTATGCATGAAGAAGGGTGTAAGGTGGAGAGGGGAAAGGGGGAAGAAGGGAGTACGGCAGAGACGGGAGATGCGGAAGCGAGGAGTAGGGAAGAGAGGGGAAAAGGGGGAAGAAGGGCGTAAGGCAGAGAGGGTGGAAAGGCGAAAGAAGGGGTTATGGCTGAGTGGGGAATATGGGAAGAAGGGTATAAGACAGAGGTGAACGGGGGAAGAAGGGCGTAACACAGAGAACACATGGTGGGGGTTGAAGAGTGCAACGATGACAGGGAAAAGGGGGAAGAAGGGTGTAGGGACGAGAGGGAAAAGGAGGAAGCAGGGCGTAAGGCACCGTGGGTGGAAACGTGAAAGGAGGGGGTAATGCAGAGTGGGGAAAGGGGGGAAAAGGATGTAAGGCAGAGAGGGGAAATGGGGAAGCCGGGCGTTAGGCAGGAAACTCACTTTGCAATAAGAAAAGTGTCAAGAGAGAGGGGGAAGGGAAAAGCAGGGCGTAAGGCAGAGAGGGGATTGGGGGATGAAGGGTGTGGAAGAAGGGAGTAAGGCAGAGAATTCAAGGTGGGGGAAGAAGGGTGTACGGAAGAGAGGGGAAAGGGAGAAGAAATGTGAAAGGCAGAGAGGGGAATGGGGGAAGAAGTGTGTAATGCGGATAGGGGAAAGGGGGCAGTAAAGGAGGGGAAGCATGTGGGGAAAGGAGGGGAAGCATGGGGGGAAAGGAGGGGAAGCAGGGGGGGAAAGGAGGGGAAGCATGGGGGGAAAGGAGGGGAAGCATGGGGGGAAAGGAGGGGAAGCATGGGGGGAAAGGAGGGGAAGCATGGGGGGAAAGGAGGGGAAGCAGGGGGGAAAGGAGGGGAAGCACGGAGAGGACGGGGGCAGAACCAGCACGGAGGGGAGTGAGCGTGGGCGACTTGAAGGAGGGAGCATGTGTGACGTAGGGAAGCGTCGCGTGCTCGACTGGAGGGGAGTGAGAGTGGGCGACGGGAGGGAAGTGAGAGTGGGCGACGGAGGGGAGTGCGCGTGGGCGACGTGAGGGAGTGAGCGTGGGCGACGGGAGGGGAGTGAGAGTGGGCGACGGGAGGGAAGTGAGAGTGGGCGACGGAGGGGAGTGCGCGTGGGCGACGTGAGGGAGTGAGCGTGGGCGACGGGAGGGGAGTGAGAGTGGGCGATGGAGGGGAGTGCGCGTGGGCGACGGAGGGGGGTGAATGTGTGCGATGAAGTGGGGTGAATGTGTGCGATGGAGGGCAGTGCACTAAGGCGAAGGGGAGTGATCGTGGGCGACGGCTGTGTATAAGCGCGGACGACATAGGGGAGTGAGCGCCCGTGACGGAGGGGAGTGCACGAAGTCGACAGGAGGGAGTAAGCGTGGGCGACGAAGGGGAGGGATGACCTGATTCGCGCGGATATGGATGCGTCGTGGGGGGCGGGGATAGTACTCGATCTCGATGTTCGCTAGGCGCGAATTATATGCGTGGTAGTTCTTCCGCCTGTTTTCCCGAGTTGCGGTCTCTCTCGCCTCGTCGCGGATAAAAGCGCGCTAAATGCACACAGCGGGGTACGACAGGCGGAGGCTCCTAAGTGCGAGCGAGAGGAACATGTAGCGGGCGCGACGTTATGACGAGCAAAACCGTGATCCTCTTGCTGTCTAGATTGTAGTCGTGGAACCAAGTGCACGTCGTATGTGCTGGAATATCTGTGCTGTGGTAGTAGTAGGCATGCACGTTTTGGTTCATGAACTGCTGGGTGTGCAACAAGTTCCCAACTCACAGTTGGCCATTCGCAAGTGACGACGGGGGAGAGACAACCTGCGCAAGTCCGCCAACACTGAACTTTGTTTCTCGTTTGACTTCCAAGCACAAACAGGGTAACCACCCAAAGGCAAGTGATAAACCTTTGCCCCACCCCCCCCAAAGTGCACCGTCGCTTTAAGGCACTCGACGGGTTCGGAAAGCGCGCGCGCCTCATGAGACATTCTGCCAAAACGTGAATGGCACGCTTCAGCACGACCCGCGTAACTGACGGGTGAGCAACATTCGCATCACGGAAACCCAGTGACGCGGTTCTAGGAAGCGAAAACTGAGCAACGTTTCTCGGCCTCGCTTAACTTACACACACGCGAAAAAACCAAAACCGCACCGACAATTGCGCTCGATTTCTACGTTCCCGAATTCTGCGTTAGCCCGCGCGAGAAAATGTAGATCACCCCCACTTCAGTGCCACAAAACGGGAAACAAGAGGCGACGCAATCGTCTTAGGGTTGCGAAGTGTTACGAATAGTAATACTTGATATTACTGTGCACTCCTCACCGCAGCAAAGAGGCATGCAGTATCGAGAACGAATGCGAAGAGTCAGAGTTGACTCGAAGCGTCAGACGGTTAGGGTGGATCTAGACCGTCGGAGAAAAACGGCATCGGGCAGCTGCAGGGACGATGAATCTGGCGGGAACAGTTTCGTAACTGCTCGGGCCGCACGGTTGGTTTGAATTCGAATAAGGGAATGTACCCCTTAGAGTACATGGCTAGCCAGATCGCTTCGTATTCCCCTGTACTCATATTTATATCGTTGTATTTGCATGTTCTATTCATCTCAAAGCATTTTACATTCACTCTGCTATTGAGGTCAAGGGCCCACCAAACTATCTCACTACGTGCGAACCTTCCTGGGTAGATCCTGGGCTACGATCAACTTCTGATCTCAGCATGGTATGAGAGCGGCTCAGGAATCCTTCGCACTGCCACTCCCGAAAATTGCGACATGGTCAGACCAATCTGACGGCTGAAGCGCAACCCAACCCGGCTGCGACAAGCGAAAACACGACGACGATCGGCACCGAAGTTCTCGCACAACTTCTTCAGCGACTCACCAGCCTGGAGCAAGGACTCCAAACATTGCGGAACGGCGATGCGGGAACATCCTCGCAACCATCCCAACCGGCCCCAACTGGCCAGAACGCCGCCCCGCACACATTCTCTCTCGACACCAATGGCTCAACCCCCAAGGCTCCCCGTCCCAGTGAAGAGGCAATTCTCTCCGCTCAATCAAAGTTTCTGAGCATATCAAAAATAAAGACAAGTACTTGTTTTGACGGCAGAGACTTCTATACCTGGAGCTTCGAGTTGGAGCTCTTGCTGCAGAACGCCCAAATCTTTCACTATTTCGACGGGAGCTACGCGGAGCCTGCCGACGACACGGACGACGCCAGGACCCGCTACTACAACGAGTCCCTAATGGCGTACGGGGTGCTCCTGCGGAACATGGCACCGACGGAGCAACTGAGCATACGCTCATACAAGACTTCGGCCGCCCCAGCCCTTGAAGCCTGGCGACACCTCAACGGTGTGTATCAGCCGAAGGACTCCGTCTCCTCGAGCCGGCTGCTTCAGCAGCTACTGGAAACAAAAATGGCCCCAGGGGAGAAGGCCAACAGCTACATCAATCGCTGTCGAAGCCTTCGCGATCAAATCGCGAAGCTGGGAAGCTCGATTTCGGAAGAAATCTTCGTGAATATCGTGCTTCAAGGGCTCGGCCCAGAGTGGCGGCCCTGCAAGGCGCTTCTTCGACAGCAGGGGGTCATCTCGGAGGCCGCCCTTTGCGCCGCCCTTCTCGTCGAACAGAGGGATATGGATCAGCAGCGACCTGCGCCGCGACGAGAACGCGAAAGGCTCGCCTTCTACGCCGACAACACCGAAGAGCGAAAGCCACGGCGCCTCTACTGCAAAATCTGCAGAAATTTCGGGCATCTGGCGGATCGATGCAAGAACCGATCCCGCCCTCGCCAGACCAATCCGAGCACCTGGTCCGGCCGTCAAGACGCACGAGGCGACGCGCGTCATGCCCAGGGGTATCAGCCCCCTTCCGCGCGCAATCTGAACCCAGCGGTTCAGCATCAGCAGCAGCAGCCGTCACCGACTGCCCCAGCTCGCAACGTCATGAGCAACATGGCCATGACCAGCGAATCGCGTCGTCGCCGTGCCCGCTCGCCTTCACCCGAGCCGGCACCGCACCCCATTGGCGCGTTCACCAACAACAACCCGTTCAACCCGCGCCACGACTTCACCGACGACGACGACCAAGACTGGAACCTTCCAGTCCCGCTGCTTGAAAGTCCCCCGCACGTACCTGATATGCGGGTGGCGCCAATTGATTGGCTCTCGCGCGAGCAATTTTTGAAGTTCGACACTCCGCACATCGTCACACCGCGACTGGCGCTGCTCGCCCGTGACGACAACAAGCGCTACAACACCTGGTACCTGGACAGCTGCTGCGGCCAGCATATGGTGGGCTCCGAGCGTTACATATCCAACGCCATCCCCACTCCTACCGCCACCTATGTCACTGTGGCGAACAACACGCGCCTGCGCGCAAGCGCGCAAGGCATCGTCGTGCTCAAAGCACGCGGGAGCCGCACGCACATCACGCTCAACGATGTGCTGATCGTCCAGAACCTGCGCTTCAACCTCCTGTCCGCCGCACAGCTCATGGATTGCGGCGTCGAACTCAGCACGGACCGCGCGACGCGCGATATTTTGTTGCACTACGAAGCGCGCAACTTCCCCCGCCGGCAGATCGGACGAGCACACTCCGACAATGGGGTGTACGTCCTAGACTTTGACATCCCCGACTGCAGCGGCGACTCGCACGAACTAATCGATCTCGTGCCACTACGCTTCGAGCACATCCACCGCAGGGACTGGAAGCACCCTGACGGGAGACCGTGGGTGCCACATCATCCACACCCACGAGAAACAGCGCTGCACGACCCTGACGCAGACGGCATGTGCAAAGACTGCCACACGCCGACGACGTCAACCAGCGCCATTGCCGGCCGCGGACTCGCCGCCATCGCCGAAGCAGAACATCACGCGCCACCAGAAGAAGGCATGTCGCAATTGGAACTTGAAGTCACCACGCATGGCGTCTTCGGCACGCCTAAGTACCCTCTTGCCGGTCCGCCCTCTCAACACCTTCGAGGGATGCTCCGCGGAACTGGCGTCGGCACCTTCGATGCGCATGGCGTGCCGCGACCCTACTCCCGCGAAGATTTTCAAAAGATTTACCCCCATTGGCGCGACCACACGGCCGAAATCGCCGTGGAACAGGAGGAAGAACTGGCGCGCCGCGAAGCCGAGGAGCTTCGCCAGCAAAGCCTCGCGGAAGCACGCGGGACCTTCGCTTGCACCGCCTGGGGAGCTGAGGAAGAAGCAAGCGCCTCCAATGAAGGGGGGTGGGGAAGCGCTGGTGGATGGGGGACCAGTGATACTGGCGGATGGGGTGACACCGGCGGCACCTGGGCCAACGCGAGCGGCGGATGGGGCGCCGCATCTGGCGCCGACAATAGCGGCTGGGGCACTTCCCGCGAAGAACGAAGGGGGGGAGAGGAAGAAGCCGCGGAAACCGAAGCAGCACCTGCAGTCGTTCCTCTCGGTCGTCCCCCGCGCCGCATTCCCCTCGCACCACCTCCTGCAGACATTCCCCCGCATCGCGACCCGTGGGACACCATTACCTGGGGCAACGAGCCGTCAACCCCGCGTCGCACTATCTACGGACCTGCCCCTGAACCACGCCAACCTACCCTTGTCCCTGGAACCATCCCTGGGACCAACATCCCGCTCTCTGAAATTCGCGACAGAGAGTTCTTGGCGTTGATGCTGACCACCGCGGCAGAAGAAGAAGCAGAAGAAGTAGCAGCAGAACCTGCTCCTGTACCTGACGAAGACCCCGAGGAAGCGCGCGCGCGCTATATGCGCACCTCCGGCTTTCGCGCTGATGATGCACTCTGGCACCAGCGCCTCGGACACCCTTCCCGCGCGACGCTCAAAAACTGCATCGACGCTGGCGTCTTCGCTCCTAGCGCACTCCTGCGCCCTGATATCTCCGAAGTGAGTGGCGCGACACATCCGCGCAACTGCACCGTCTGCCCCGAAGCTGCGCTGAGCCACCAACCGTTCCCGCTGCTCGAACCTGGAACCAAACGATACCGCAAGCTGCACAAAGTGTACAGCGATTTCCTGAACGTGGGGCATTGCGGAATCGAAGACGAACTCTACACGCTTACCTTCATCGACGCAGGAACACGCTATGTATGGGTCGTGAACGTGGAGACGCGCGACAGAGCCTACGAGGTGTTCCGCCTCTGGCTAGCACATGCGGAGCGGCAATCTGGAAAGAAGCTCAAGATCTGGCAGTCCGACGGCGCGGCAGAATTCAGGAGCAATCAGATGCAGACATTCCTGACGCAAAAGGGGATCGAGCATCACATCTCCCTCCCCTACGCACACCAGCAACAGGGCGTAGCTGAGCGGACGA